ACTAGTCTTTACAAAGAACCAGAAAATAAGTCAAAATTTCCCTCAACACAGTTTTTTCTACCAAAACTAAGTGCAGTTTGTTAGTCCAGGTGATTCATTAATGTTAGCTATAATTTAAGTTCAGTGATGTGTTTAAATCTATTATTGAGGTGTTTTTAATCAGTTAAACTCTATTTTAAAAAGAAACTGAAGCTGGTAAATTACAGAAATTGATCAATTCAAACATTTTAAGTAGTACTGCTTGTATTATTAGCAAGAATAAAATGGGTTTTTTAAGAGTTTCAGTATTTTCTGCATAAAAACATTACTTCATGGGCAGAGAACTAACTTTTAACAATGTGATCATGGAAAGAACAATTAGTCATCTGTTTATTTATTTATGTTATTTCATGATATTTTCTTGACTTTAAAGCAGTCTGACTTCAGGTGACAGTAAAAATAACCCAATTTTTAATCCATGTCCATATCTGTTGATGTAGGAGCTGAGAGTCAGAGGCAGGTTCAGCAGGTAAAGTTCTGTCAGGTGAGCAGTGAAGGTGCTGGGCAGGTGTGAATGAAATATAAAATGTTTACTCAAATTAATATTTATTTTGAGTACATTCTAGTCAGCTATGTGAACTTGAAAGAAATTGTGGATCTAAAAGCATAATTTACAGYATGGTTAACAGCTAAGTTTTATTTCTAGAAAGTGGTAGAAATTGTTTTTCATAATTAAGATTTTCCTGCTTAAATAAAGGTCAATAAATAAATCTGTCAATTCATCCATCATTAGATTTCTGATCAGTTCCAAACATCCATGTATCAGTTTTTCTTTAAATTTACAGGATGATAAAACTGATGAAAGTTAYATTTTATATGACCACTGTTTGACACAAAGGCTGCATGATGTCATGTCAGTTTGTTAGGAGTAGACCTGTCATTTAATCAGAAAAATAAATGATCTGTTCATTGTGTAGTTAATATTTTAAACATGCAGATGCTTGGCACAATGACATGTTACAAATAAAGCTAAATCAAGAACAAACAATATAAAGTAAAATTCTCCTCTAAAGTCATTATTGTTTGGGATAAATTCTCACCTTAATTTCATTATCTGAGCCACAGCAATGAGTTTAAAAATATGATGATTCAACTAGAATCTGTCTCTAAATTAGTTATTTAATCAAGTGTTTTATGTAGGTAAAAGTATGATTAGGAACCTGGTAAAATACACCAAAATGCAGGAAACTGCATCTACTAGTTTCAAAATTTTCTGGTGGAGGACCCCCAGACCCCACACTAATGCCCCCTCACACACATTACAATGCTTCTGATGCTCATTGCTTAACATTAGAGAGAATAAAACAACACACCTGTAGTGCACCGCCTGTGTACTACAAAACTGAACTGTGTTCTATGAAACTAGTTGATTGTCAAACTGTACTCCTGGTGAGATTAAAGAGCTGGTACAGTACATGGTATAATACAGGTGAACATCATACAGGTGTGATTGAGTACACATTATTGCACCACAGCAGAAACATTTACTTTGTTGTTGATGAAGTGTGAAGAGGCAGGTTTTGGTCGGTGAATACAAAATACAAAAATATTACATGCTAGTGCTACATCTTTGCCTAATTTTTTATATATGTACAAAAATTGGGCCAGTCTTGGCCATTAAACTCCCAGGCTGAAAAGTTTCCCCACTC